AACAACATTCTTCGCAGAGATTGCTTTGTCACCAATACCGGACGTCCCTTGTGGGATTTTTCCAGGGGGGGGGGGGAGTTGGTTCCGGCATGCCGCTATGGATGCTTCTCGCTGCTATCAAGATTCGAATGACTGGCCAACCGGTCTCACTTGGCATCCGCAGCATCGTATCTGCCTTTGTTATTGCGGTTATATGAGGTAGTTCGTGGCCTAGCGATGAGCAGGGAGGAGAAGGAGTCTTGGTCGCGGTGGATACGCTGTCCAACGCGTACAACAGTGGGGAGAATCGGGAGAATGATGAATGCTTGCTGGTGTGCGCCGGGCGAAATAAATTCCGTTAAGGGGTCGAAGGAATCTTGGAGTCTTGCGGTAACTACGTATATCATGCACCGTCCGCCAATTAAAAGCTTAGTGTCATACCAGGTAAGCATATAGGCATACAGCACGCAGCCGTCTCGATAAAAGTTACGTGTATTTGGAATGTGCTCTCTGGGCTTGGAGCCCGGGGATTTTTCCGGCCGCGTTGACCCCCAGCGCGTCTTACGCCAAGGCAACATTACTTTAATGGGGCAGCAGTTGTTTTCGTCACGATTCTTCGTGTGTGTCTTCCTGTGACTTTGTTCTGATTTTGCTCTTTGGTTGAATGCGTGTTGTAGGCTACACTGTCTTGTTCGGCAACACCGTAATATACTTCGAAGTATCAACGAATTCAATTTGTCTTACGAGCTTTTGGTACATGAGCTTTGTTTCGACGCGATTCCGTCCGTACGCGCTCCGAACCCTCCAACTCCCGTCCAAGGAACCGTTGGTTCACAAAGACGCACGTCGGATGGTGGGTTGACTGGTGAAGTCTACGCCTACGCCAATGAGTGACGACCTTCATCGTGTCGACGACCTCCTTCCAGACCCCCTCGACGTATGCGTAGAATCCCCACATACGTTGTTATACCAAAATCCTCCGCTGATAGCACCCGTACTTCAAAACCGGGCAGTTAAGAACTTAATGCTGAAATCATGACTACGGAACATCAGCGCCATTTGTGAGTCCGGACAAGAAGCCCTACGCGAAAATCTATTTGCGGTCATTTTTAGCCCACAGGCGGAACTAAGCGCCCCAGTCTCGCCCAAAACGAGAGGTTCGAATCGAGTGCTCTCTCTCTGTACTGGTGCAACCAAGAACTTGTCGGAAGAATAAATAGATGGATGTCCAGTGCAGCGTTTTCTTGTATCAGTTTTTCGCCCCCTCGCCTAGCCTAGAACATCATTTTCGGTTGCCGCGGGGAGGGCTGCTGACGTTACTCTTCGTGATTTTCTCGACAACGCCCAGTCCCTCCACGTATTCGCATTGCCCGGAAAGCAGCTCGTTCCTGAAGCCCTCTAGGAAGAGCGAGAAAGTCTTCGCCACTGTGCCACCCTCACCGTCTGCTGCATCCCACTCTACCACCGGACAACCTCTTGCTTGAGTGTCCGTAACCTGTTTACAGGTACCGGTGGACGTACGTGCATACATGCAAAGGTCACAATTGTTATTCACAGTAGTACATGTGCACCTCACCCTTGTTCTGGAGCAATACACAATCCTGACCAGGCACTGAGGATGGATATTGACACTCGAAGACGACCATCTCTCTCTCTCTCTGGTTGTGCGTACACGTGAGGTGGCTTGGACCTTTTTCTTTCTTTCCTAGACAAGACAGAGAGAGCGGAAGGAGGGTACCCTACAGGATCCACCTTCTTCCCGACACGTTGAAAGTTGCGGAAGATGAATCCTCACCCGCCATATACGTACAGTAGTAGGCAGAAAGTTTCTGGTCAACTGTCATGCACTCTGCTGGTATCATATGTCAACGCTCAGAGGTTGACTGTGTCATGAGAGCATTTGTTTTTGAAACACATGTTGTCGCCGAAGGCAACCAGTCGCTGGGGCAAGCGGGGAAGTGCGGGCGAAGTTGAAACCCTGTTCGTCTTTCAAGCAATATAGAAACCTTTTCGTACCACAGTACGGCACGGTACTGCACCACAGAGAGTGGTCAGACGGTAGATCGATTGGTTGACAACAATCAGTCACTCAATACATCGTTCGTGACTTACCAAAAAGCTGTCGTCGACATCCTTGGCGAAGGGTATCAGCCCTGCTCTCCAGCCGCTCACCCGTCCTTCCATCTTGAAAGCCGCCGCTACCATCGCCTATCGCGTATACAAACACACACCCGATCAGTTTGTTTGTAGCATATCAAACGTTCGCTGTTTGTTAGGCCGGAATGCATACTGCCTCTACATAGTTGCTCTGGTTGCTGCACAGAATTATCACACGGTACACACGTATTAGGTGATATACACCGCACGCAACCCGGCGTACACACTACACCACCACCGGGCAACAATACCTTGCAGGTAAGTGCTTGCTTCTCGGAGAACCAGAGTTGCCCGTCCTGGATTGTCATGATTGATCGCAGCTCCTGCGATTTTAGCAAACTCAGAGGGGTGAGAACTAACATTTTATCATCGAACACACAAGGAGCAAGGATCTCCATACGGTACAGACGGCATCGATGCAGTGACCGTGAAGTTCGGGCTTGTTTTGGCCCCATGTACCTGTACCTCACAGTGCCAAAGGATCGAAGTACTCCCACGGCGGGTGCTGAACCTAGAGCCCACTACAATATTGATTTATCAAAAACAACAAAGTCTGCACAACGCCAAAAGCTCTCCTGTTTTCATTGTACGACATGCATCATTAGTAAAATATGGACGCTAGGTTGCCGTTGGATTTCGTGCAGAACCGCATATTGCAACGATTCCGGCTAGGAGAGAAGGTCAAGGCTCCTCCTTCACATTCTGCTCTGTGCACCGACCTCCGGAATGGTGGTGTCCATGGCCTTCTCCATCGCCTGAATGTCTGTGGTAGGTGTTTGGACGGACAGCGTACGTACGCAAAGAGGGAAAGCACCCCGCACTTCACGGGAAGAGAAGGGCTTCCTTCATTATATCGGTGGAACAATAGAGAGATGTTCCCACCTCTAAATCTCTGGCAAACTGTATTACTGATGTCTATCTCGAACTCAAGACACGACAGTAGCTGAATATTCAAATTATCCCCACAATGAGATAAAGTAATGATATATGGGGGTGTTTGATTTAATTAATTGTTTTGGGGTTTGGGGAGTACATATCGTCGCTGACCAGGTGCATCGCGAAGGCGTTGGAACGTACGTTTTTTTAGATGCTGCGCACTATCGCTTGAGAGTATGCACAGACGGGCGCCTCCCCAACACCAACACCACCACATGAATAACCTCCTGCCAGCACCCTTTGTGTGCCAACCTGCTGCCGTAGAGAGAACGGTCCACCCTCGAGAAAACTATGTACGTGTAGCACTACCAGGATCGCCCCATTGTTGAAAGACACCCACCCCGTAGCCCGCACTTCACCTGCATCCTGTGCCCCTTCCGCGTTGTCTAGACAGCCCCGTGCGTGCTTCTTGAACCAGGATTCCACGTCTGAGAGAGATCACCACCATGCAAGATGGAACAACGGAACCATGGTCGTATCACGTCCCGAAAACTATGTTTCCGGACTGCGGACGTTGCGCCTATCGAAGACAAGCAATTCACTTGCTTCCTACAATAATAAAAATGGTTTTTGGGATGCAAGCAGGCGTGCGTGTGCTACATGCTACCGTGAAGTATATTGAGTCTTTACCCAGCGCACACGTCGCAGCCACACCTTGATTGTACGAATCTCGCAAACATGCTATAGACCATGCGACACACCCGCTGTATTTTGTTGTTTTCCGTCGGTGGATCTGTTGTCGTTTGCCTACCGTACACACACAGCAGTATGTGTACGGTAATCGACCTGTACAATTCGGACCGCGGCCGCGCGATGATCTGTTCTTTTTTACTTTCGCGAACATGTTTCAATATCTCACCAAGGACGCTCTGGTCTACATGTCTCAGCAAAGGTCAAGCCACTGTTTCGAGGTTTTTCTCCCCTCCGCAACATGGCATGAGTGGCATGCGTCATATAACCCGACAGCGGCAGCGGTGCGATCTTCATGTTGACGTCGCGACGGAACATGTTGCATTACATATGTAATGTACCGCAGTCTATCTCACCAAGCACGCTCTGGTTTATCTCAGCATAGGTCATGCCACCCTTCCGGGGGTTTCCCTCCTCCGCGACATGGGTCATGACGGCGTGCGACCACTACGGTGTGTAGAGGTAGATAGAGAAAGACAAAGCATGGGCCCGTAGCTGCAGCGAGCCTGTGGTTGCTGCCGACTCCTCTCTCCGGAGATTGTAACTGCCAGGTTTGTCAAGAGGCATTTTTTGGGGGGAGGTCCGTGGTTTGTTCGCAGAGAGCGGGGTACCTGTAAATAGTCAACCCGCCGCCGCCTCTGTGCTAGGGACAGAGAACACAACACAAGCAGCAAGCAGCGGAGAGAGCGGAGACCCGCGAAGCTGGGAGAGAGGAGAGTGCTCCCAGGAGTTCTCACAGATTATACGCTGTGCGCTAAACGATGCCGCCGTCTGCGGGTGTCAGCTCTTCCCGTCAGATCGGAAGCAAGACGGCCGAGAATAGTAGTCGCTCGACAAGGAAGAAGGACCGCGCCAAGAGAGAGGTGTGCAAATGTTCCAATGTTTCGACTCTCTCCCCCGCCCAGCGAGCGGGATAAGGCGACGGCTGTGTACGTAGAGCAGCTATCTCTCCGAGTGCGCAGAAGGTGGCATATCAGCAGGGTGCACGTAGCCAAGGTTGCAAAAAAGAGCGGGATATACGGTGTGCTTATCACTGCTGCTGTTGCTTGTTGTTCGTCAGCAGACAAGCAGCGCAGCATGTAGACTACAAGTGTATCGCTCCCTCCAACGTGCGGACATTCTCTCGTCTGCTGTACACATGCTGTACATGGCCGATGTTTATTCGCATGGTTGCGTGTGTTCTGTTTTGGAGGAAGCAAACATGTCTGTCTGCCGCGTTCCCCTCAGCAATCAAGCTAACCTTGCATCTGCATCCGAAAAGCCACCGTATTATCTACTGCTGTGTAATACGTATATGTTAGTCTATGCCCGGACAGTCCACTGAGCAAGGAGGTCTGCACTACCAAGCAGCAAGTAGTCCATGTACACGGCGGTGTTCGTGAAGAATGTACGCCTACCTATGAGGTGAAGGCGTAGTGTATGTCTGCATTTATACATTTGCATAGCCTTGCTTGCTCGAGACTATAGTTATCGGTTTCCTTCGAATGCAACAAAAGATCGCCGATGATGTTCTGTTCCGTTCCAGCCAGCGCACGAAGCTGCTTCGCCACTACACCACGTACTTTGCTGAGTTGTTTAGAATGTCGTACAAGTAAGGACATTGGTCGACGTACCATACTCCGATGGTTCCATGTATAACCCATAGGTGTGTACAATGATCCAATCACAATGTACCGAAGACTACTACGGTAATACTCCTTGGATGGTTTAACTACGTACTGCTGTTCGACGGCATTACAATTACTAATGACCGACTTTGAGTTTTCCAAAAAGTGAGCTGGTATGTTCGCTCGCCTAACACGCATGGGAGCATCGACCAGCTTACGTTTGTTGGCGAAGCTACGCGCTTGGTTGGGCTAGCACTCCGAACACCTGATCGTAGGACTATTTGCTGCTTTCAGACCGAGACAAATAGTTTCTTCGTGATCACGCTATAGGTCGTCTGTTCGAGGCAACCGATGCTACCGCTGCCGTCCCCGACGCTCGGAACTCAGCTTTGTGCAAAAAGAAGGCGCGCTCTCTAGATTCATTCTCCGATGAACAAACCCACGGTTGGTCAGTCTTTTCACCTACACAGGAAGCACACGCCTCACGAACCAATCTCCGATGCTCTGCTACGACCTTGCTCCAACGGCTCTCACCCGGTCCGAGTTCACCCGTCGTACGCTGCGCCTGGTACCGCTATCGGGCGCCACGTTCTTCCCTTAAAACCAATTATATGTGCCTACGAATGACGACTTCTGTACCGTACACAACCCTGGACGCCTCTGTCGCTTCAACAGGCGGTGGACTTGCTGGTGCAGGAGCTCTGCACGGGACCGGCCGCAGATGTGACGACCGTTATAAGGACGGCGCTGGAGCGAGGGTACCGGGCGGACCTTC